CCGTCATGTGCTAGAAGACTCACTTTGGGCAAATCATTTCATTTTTATATGAATCAGTTTTCTCTCTTAAACCATGTGGCTATTGGTAATTCCTCAATATGTTTTTGTGTTGGTGAGGGTTCAAATAAAAACACACACATGAAGATGCTTTGGAAACAATAAAAAGCCACTGGGCGTGTGTGTTTTGTTGTTGTTTTATCACAGCTGCCTAATCCTCCTTGGGGGGTGTCTTAGGAGTTTCAAGCAATGTCCTGGTGGTTACACCGCATTAAAAATTGAAGACATTTCTACCTTAAGACTCACTGGATGGTTGCCCTGAGGTTTAGGGCCTGGCATTGTGCCTCACAAGTCATAGAGCAGGTTAAGGGAGACCAGGTAACCTCATTTAGGAGCAATGTGTGGGGAATGGGGTTGGAGGGAGACTTGGTAGGTGAGGAGGGCGTGCAGGCTTCAGGGGCGTCTCTCTGTTGTAGAGTGTGGATTCCTCAGGCTGGGCCACTGTCCTGGCGGTGATCTGGCTGCATGACAAGCATAAGGACATGAAGTGCGAGTGGGAGCTTCTGGAGCGGAAAGCTGTGGCCTGGATTCACAGCCATGCAGGTAGGAGCACCAGCCTGACCCCTCAGCTCCTTCCCTCCTTAGGAAGCTCCGCATCTTACCGGACACTGAGCCCCCGGGCCGTCCTGGTCCAGACCTTTTGGGTCTCCCTGCTCGTTCTCTCCTGGGCAGGATGAGGGTGCAGTCTTCCAGTGGGGGCAGTGGGAGGTGTGTGAAGAGGGAAAGGGGCATCGATGGGGAGTGTGAGTTGAAAAAGGGACATGCAGTGTCATTTATTTTTCTCGCTCTGTCAGTACTATACTGAGAGTGAGACTGAACTTGGGGCATTTCTTTTTTGAGTGTTTATTATCTCACTGCTGCCGGATATTTCTGGGGCCAGAGGGGAGGAAAGGGAATCTGGGGGATGTGACGAGACAATTCGGGGGTCTAAGCAAAGATACAAGCAGGACTCAGGGGAGATGACAAGGAGGTTGAGGGAAGAATGGGAGAAAGGCACTTCCTCTCATCAATATCAATGGGAGAGAGGCTGTTGTCCCGCAGCCCTCATTTTTGTTTTCTCCTCTCAGGCTCCACCGCGGATGGGCTGGTGAAAGCTGCTGTGGGCTGTCTGC